TAATGTGAAATGATTTAAGCATTATTGTAGCGGAGCTACTTAGATTATGTTTTGTGTTGTAACTTTAAGTTTTTATTCATTTCTATATTTGTTTATTAATTGTATAAAATTTATGTAATATTTTTGTTTCTTGCGACGGACAAACTTCTTATTAAATTGTATATAGCTAGGATGCACGATGCGTCTATTGTTCGCGCCCCCCCCCCCGCGCTTCTGTAGCCCCGCTGGCCCCCGCTAGCGGTCCGCTGGCCAGCTGAGCGGGCACTTCGCCGGGCTCCGTCGACCGTCACTCCGTCAGTCACTCGCTTACGAAAAATAATCCCCTTCTGTATTCATAGCTTTTAAGCAGTTTAAATTGCTAAACCTTGTTTAATCCGCTAAATTATTTAATTTTAAGATTAATTTTTGGGACATAATGAGTGTAATCCTAAATTATGCCAGAAAATAGATTGGTTCGTTAAAAATTATGTTAGCAATAAAATATTATGAATTACAGATTAAAGGGTTAACATTACTTTATATTACGTAAAGAGGATTGATTTAAAATTTAACTTTATTAATATATATGTATATACAGGGTGACTGGTGAATTACTATCAATATTTAAGGAGAATACTCGGTACATGATTCTCATTCGAATTATGTAAAAAAAATAGGTACTTAATTTTTGACAAAATTTCCGTATAAAAAAATAAAGTGTTGACACGTTCCAAGTGTTCCAAGTTCCAAAACCACGCCCCCGCCGCGTATGTGTGAGTGTGTGTGTATACCTAATCTGTAGGGTGTTCATACGATGCGTAATTAATTACATAACATTTGGTTAACTTTACTAAGAAGTTAATTAATATTTATGTTATTTTAATTTTTATTTTGTCATATATGACCGTCAACTACCACGTCCTCAAATATCGATAGTAATTCACCAGTCACCCTGTATACATATATAGGTTAATGGTAAAATGATAAGGAGGTGAACCGAGAACTTAAAAAAATATTATCGTATCAAACTCTCCTATTAAATACAACGTTGTACGTACACCAACGAGATGGACGAACGACTCAGTTAAACAAATAGGAGCAGATGAATGAGGCTTGTGTGTAGCAGCAGACTCACAGGGCTCAAATGATGATGATGAAACCTCACATGAATAGAATTGTTTTCTTTTTCAAAATGATTTGCAGACACATAACTCAATATCTTACTAAGTACAAATTTATTAACATTTATTTCCATCGGATCCAAAGTTACTCCAAAAGTAAATCTTTTATGTCTGTTATATACTAAATCTCCACACAAATAGATTATCCCGGGAGTCGCTCGGATCTCATAATCCTATTTACTGAGGGTCCTCATATAGACTGTCGGGATTTTGTACATACTTAGTTGTCCTTTTGTTTTCACATTTAATCTTAATCCCTAATGATTTCGGTTAAAGTTTATTTTAATTCGAGGTTTCCTAGTTGACGTTCAGTATTTCACTGTACAAATATAAATATGATAATTAGTAGACTATTTCTCGAAAATAATTTACGCATTGAATAAGGATAATTTTTTTTTTAAAGAGAGTTTAATACTCGAGAAAAATTTTAATCTTTTCATGTGCTTATTACAACAAAACAAGTTTGTATGTTTATTACTTTTCATCAATTATTTTACTTTAAACCTGACCGTTCTTTAAAAAAAAAAACTTAGAAAATTTACTTCGACGAGGTATATATTGTACGTATGAATTCCTTTCTTTAAACCAAAGTTACATCAAAGACAACAATACAGCATCTTTTGTCAGATTAATAAAACTGTTAAAAGGTATGATCGCATATTCGTCGTCATTAAAGTCTTTCATAAAAAAAGTATTAAATAAATTAAACAAAAAAATATCGCATTAAAATATCAAGAACTTTATTTAAATAATGTCATTGCAATAATTTATACACACTTTTTAATACCTAAAACGTTTTATGAAAATTAATATTAATTTTCATCAGTCGTTTAATTATTATCATCTTCATCTACCTATCTATATACAAATGGATATGTATATAAAAATGGATTGCTGTTCCTTAGTCTCACTAAAACTCGCGAACGGCTGAACGGATTTATTTTATCTTAGTCTTGAAATGTTCGTGGAGGTTCAGGGAAGGTATAAAAGCTGAAAAAAATTGATTCATTACTGGGAAAACCATAAAAACAGCCCTTTTCTATTTCCCATACAAAAATTTTTTTTGACATTAGATTTGACAACTAACTAATATGTCAATCATTCTGTCGCACTTCACTACACGGAGATTTATGGCTTACAGGTAAAGTCCAAAAATATAAATAAAAAACGTAACAGATATTTCTTGATTATAGGGCGATACGAAGTTCGCCGGGTCTTCTAGTTAGTAGATAAAGTTAGAGCAATCATAAGCGAGCTGTTTAATGAGATTAGGGTACATTGGGTGCTGAGTGAGCAATAGTAAATTCATCTAACCAGTGGCGGGGCAAGACCTAAATTTGATGTAGGCAAGACAGATTTCGCGAGGACCTATTCTATGGCAACTTGAAGCTCTTACAACCTGCTAGTTTTAAAAACTTAAACGGAGATACGTTTTTTACCCTTAAAGCTTTGGTTTCCTTCAAAAGATATTATAAAGCGTATTTTATATACAAGTAATTACTGCGTTACATACTTATTATCAATTAAATTTTTCTTACTTTATGTAAAATAGACGAGTACAGGTACCAATGTAATTAAAAATGACAAAAAAAACAAAAACAAAAACGTCACTGTTTTCGAGGGCCACCAATATACTTAAACACTATCTATTTTTTCGCTAAATATTATTAAAACATTGAACACACTATTCTTATTAAAATAGGTTTAATTAATTCTGATTCCCAAAGAGGTTTGATGTCAGGCAGGCGACCAGTCGTAAAAACAAATAGCCAAAACTAATCACAACATGTAAGGCAGACCCTGGCTATAGCTGGGAAATTGCCAGGAAGAAGAAGAACAAGATTTTTTTTTAATTCTCGCTTTAAAATTTTTTGAGGCGCGAGGCCCCTTGTACCGCGAGGCCGTAGGCGGTTGCTCACGTCGCCCACGCCTTACGCCGCCACTGCATCTAACTTCTTGTATAAGAAAGTCAAATTAAGTTTTCGATATCCTAGTTTACTTTTTTTACTTAAACATAAATTAAAATATATAATTTTATTTTTGAGACTATTTTAAACTTTTTTCGTTGTTGCTAAAAATTTCAAAATAAAAATGTCATTTTCTGATAGCCTAGAATAAAAGAGCTATTTTATCATCTGTGAATTTTACCTGTAATAAAACATAAAATCTAAGATTATTTGGTTACCGCAGATAAAAAAATCATGAATCTATCTTCTATCCTATATATTATACATACGAAAGTCGTGTTTGTCACAACACTTATAACTCGAGATAGACCAATTCTCATGGTCTTTGTTTCGTTGGATTTGTCTCCGCCCCGAAAAAATAAAGAAAACTCGACGAAAACATAATTATAAAAGATGAATCATTTTTCCTTTGTGCCTGTCATTTGTCAAACATTTGTAGTTCATGCTGTCAAATACTATAAGTAATGGTTGACATGAGTTCAGAAATAATTTATTGTGTGTAAATTAAAGATTATATTCTATAAAACAATCTCTAAGATATTTAATACATAAACGAAAACGTAAAAGTCTCGTTATGTTGTCTATAATTTTTAAGGATTTATTATAATGCTTTAAGCCGAGCTTGGCATTTGTGTGACTATATTAGCCTATGATAAACTGTTGTCTCTGTCTTAAAAGTTCAGTAAACTATTGTTTCAAAATTCAAATTGTTTGCAAAGAGTATATTTTTTGTTTTGTCTGGTTATATACGAGTACATATTCAGTTTTACTGTTTCTAGCCGGAGTTATAATAAAATAATACCTACATAATTCATTTACCATTTCTTAGTAGGATAATTTGTACTATGTTCTTTTCTGAAGTGTTTGTTCTACAAGGTAAATCAAATTATTATAGTGTTAGAAAGTTTTGATATATTTTGATACTATTACAAAATAGCAATAGAATAAGAAAAGTATTTTTTATTTTCAGTTGCATTTTTGTTTCAAAAAATGCCGGCAATGCCGGCTTACGTCGCAGAACCCGTAATGCCTCAGGTCAAAGATATAGAACAGCAAGTCTAACTGATGAGCAACGTGAAACGCGGAATGAAGTTGAACGGAATCGATGGAACCGGAACCAACAATATAGAAGTGTTGTTTTTAAACCCTAGAGAACAACAAAGAAATGGACTATAGTACAATAAATTATAGGCCAACTTTTAAGGTAAGTGTATGGAAAAACATTTACCACTATTGTTGACAGTTTTCAATTGTAGTGGTGTATCATTTGAAATGGCTTAAAGTACATTTGTACTGTATATGGATCCTGGGAGTCTATTTGTACAACAATTCTTTTGATAAAAAAGATGTACCTCTAGAACGCATTGCTATTGCAATAGTATGCTGAAGCTGCTTTAGTTCGATGAAACATACATAGAAATATGGGATTAAAAAATTAAATTCTCTTTCTAAAAGAAATTTATCAAGTCAATATTATAATGACTAAGTCAATATTATATTATAATTATATAAAAGGAAAAAATATGGTAAATGCCATCTTATCAAGGTTATATAATAATTAAGACTATTATAGCTTAAATATATTAATTGATACTATTCTGGGTTTATCAATTGGCATTGCAATCATAGCTTTATTGTTGACTAAGTCTACAACGAAAGTCTTTATAAATCTGTTACCGAGAATTATTTTTCAGTAAGGTTCAACAAGAGTTTTAGATTTCTCGCCAATCCACAAAAACATAGGACATATGAATGTACTTATTATACAATATACTTTTTGTTACTAAAGACTTCTAAACCTGAAATAAAAAAAAAATACATTAGCAATGTCTCTAACTGGCCAATTCGTAACATCTTTAGTGTAACCCATTTATTAATAAATCTTTATACTTATTTTCCAGAGTACTAAATCGTTGTGTAAACCGGACAAGTCGACTCAACAATGACAGCATAGCAAAATGCTTGAAACGACAGAGACGAAACTTCTCAGCATTCCATGGATTCACCGTGCGGGTGCCGGGTCCATCGCGTTGCAGGGGGAGGAGCTTCAACAGTGCCTGGGACTTGCGACCCAAGTGTAGGTTTAAGGGGCCCCTTAACTAACGCGCGTTATACGCTCACCTCCACTGTCCAAGCTCCTCTCCCTACCTAACCAAATTTGAAAAGAACCTACTAGGGCTGCCTTCGATGTACGTTCCAAGAATGCATTAATGTGAGTTCTGGACAAGCCCAAGTCCTTTAGTAGGTTATAGAGAGATTTCGCTGTTATACCTCTCGCTCCCACCTCTACCGCGTACAAATCTACTACGAACCTATTTCGAGTGAGTTCGTTCGTGAGCTCGTAATATTTGTTGACCTTGATGGTATGGTCTTTGGGGATGTTGGTTTCCCAAGGGACCGTAAGCTCTATCATCACTACGCGCTTTAAAATTCGCGAAAACAAAAATATATCCGGTCTGGAGGCCGACGCACAAATATCCTCGGGGATTTTATATTGTTTTTCATACGTGTCCATCATTATAGTCCAATCCGACGCCGCTTTAAGGATGGAGTAAGGCTTGACGTTTGATTTTGTAGCCCTAGTGCCTTCTCTCACAAAACCTACTGATCGTTCGTTTGTGGTTATTCCCTTTTGCGCTCTGGCTACCGAAAGACTAACCGCTTCACGTATGACTTCTAGAACCCTATCGTGACGACGCGAGTATTGACCGCTGTCAAGGAGTACCTTACATCCCACCAGCAGATGCTTAGCAGTTCCAACTGCCTTTCCACAGATATAGCAAGTTTTTTTCGGTACTTTTACCCCATCTTACTAAATTACTCTGATCTGGGAGAGTCATCTGGAACGCATTGAGATAGAATTTTAGCAATGCTGGCGACCAATCATAAATTAAAGTGCGCCATTTTAATGCTAATGGGATGCAAAAATCTCCTATGTCTAACCACTCGTTCTGCATTTCTAAATTCATTGCATGGATCTTATATTTATCATTCTCGTCTTGCCGAATAAAAGACTTCAATATATCCGCATCTTGGACTTTCCTATTTGATCCTAACCCCGCTCTGTTACTTTGCGCTCCTATCATAAATTGCTTATGGAATTGAAGTCGTGACTCTAGCTCGGGGGCATCTTCATCTTTTGGGAGCGATGTCACTATGTCATCATGGGATTTCCCCAGGATATATCTCTTGGAAACTCTTAGGTGTTTATAGAGCTCCGATGGCCTTTTTAGACTCATCCCAAAACTATTGCTTCCTCTAAATAACGCCGATGAATCAGCCGTTAGAGCGAGCCCGAGCCACAACTTCAACATCTTTATGACGCCTGCATCTAACTTTGACAAAAGGGTTTTATTAAAATCATAGACGAGGAAAGGCCAATTCAAACGTGAAGTTAAGTAATTCTCGTAGATCCACGCTTTTTTGACGTTACTTATCAGTTGGCTATCTACCTTGTTAAGGTCGTTCAAAAAGCTATCTACTATTCCTTCTAAAGATGGAGTACGGCCTATATTATCTATCTTACGACCGAGAAATTTAAATGGTGCATTTTCCGTAACCGTAGAAATGCATTGACCGCCTAACGATAGTCCCGGATCGTATGAGGTGTATCTTGTATTCCGCCTACCAAGACACAGACAGTGACATTTACTGGGTTTTGTCCTCAATCCATCCGTCCACTCACAGAATTTATCCACTTCATCCAATAGTACCTGACAGTGTTTGGGGTTACGTGTCAGTATTGCGAGATCGTCAGCGAAGGCTAAAATGGATTCCGTGTATTTATTATTAAACTTAAACCGATAACCCCATTTTTTCTCGTTACAGATTAATTTGTCTACTAAGATGTTAATTACGATATTAAACGCAATTGGAGATGGACAACAACCTTGAAACAGTCCTACATTATAACTCAAACTTTTTGAAGGGCCTTCTTTAGTTATTATAGAAAACCTTAATTTTGAGTAATACGACGCGATCATATCTCTAACTAGGGGTGGAAAGTTGTACCATCTAAGCGCGAATAGCATCAATTCGTGTTGTATCGACCCGAACGCGTTCTCCAAGTCTATCCAACAAACAGTGATTTGCCGCTCGCTTTTTCTAGCATCTTTTAAACTCTCCGACAGCAAGGTGTTGTGTTCTAAGCATCCAGAAATCCCGGGTAAAAACCCTTTCTGGTGATTTGGCCTAAAATAGTTGTTGCTGAGCATGAATCGCGTCATTCTCGTTTGTAGAACCGAGAAAAAGATTTTCGATATAGTATTTGTTAAAGCTATCGGTCTAGTATCTTTCGGATCAGTAACTATATCTTTTTTGGGAATGAGGACAAAAATTGCTTTCCCGAAGCACTCCGGGATTTGCTTCCCTGACCAGATTTTACCGTATATATTTAGGAGGTGTTTACGAACCGATGGACATTTTTTAAAGACTATATATGGGATACCATCGGGTCCCGGTGCAGATTTAGACGACTTCCTCTTGATCTGACTACTTAGTTCCTCTAGCGTTGGTGGAATGCCGTGGAATTCGATTCGAGGAAATTTAGGTTTTTGATCGTTTGGATCCCTATACCGTCTTAAACTTTTAGGCACTTCGTATGTGCTCTTAAAATGGTCGTAAATTTGATCGTTGGTCAAGAGAAGCTGTCCGCGTTCTTTCTTAAAAATGGTTTTCGAATACTCAAAAGGGTTTTTATCGAAATCTACTTCTTGTTTTGCCCGGTCAAAATTATCGCGATATTCTGCAGTTTGCGCCGATATTCCTTGGATTAATTTAAGGATTGACCTTAACGCCCTAGCTAGTTGATGACTAAGGTTATTGTCGCCTGCACTACACTGCAGAATTAAAGACGAGAAAAACTAGATGTTGCACTATTAAAATTTTTAAAAATAAGTATTGTTTTGAGTACCATTCTTAAAAGCTAGCAAGAAATGGAAATACCATGTATTGTATATATACATATTTTAAATTCTAATTTCAAAAACTAAGGTATGAATAGATTAAATTAGTGTTTTGTTAAAAAAACTTTAAATTATATTACAAACATCACTCACACTTTTATATTATTTGACAAATATACATACATATATACTTGTAATGTAATATTTCAAATATTTTGTTTAATGTATCCATGTTTGTGGTTTTGCAACATTAATATAGAATATAATATTCAATTTTGCATTACCTATTAAGTTAGAACATAAATCATAATTTATTTCAAATTAGATATAATTTTATGAACTCGTATAGGACTTATTATGTTACATGTAAAAAAAACTGCTATTGTTGTAAAGGTTTGTTTATATATGTTTTACATAGTGATTATAAGATATTTTTATGAATATTCGTGTAGACTGTAGCTGAAGAGTAAATAAATTAAAACATGTATAATATGCATTCATTAACATCATTGTCTATCTACTATTTAAAATTAAAGGAAAAAAGACAGTAGTTACAAATAAAAGAGATTTATTTTATAAAAAGAAAATATTATGAAGTTAATGAAATAAGTCTAGTAAGAGTTTATATAATGAACTACATATTTACTAGCTTTTATTTTTGGCATGCATATACAATTCAGGAAGTTTTATAATAAGGAATATTAAAAGAAATTGACATAAGTGCAGAAAAAGTCCTTTAAATTATTAAAATATTAAAAATGTATAAAATATGTAATAGAACCTCAATCTAATTCTACCTTGTAAAGCAAATAAATGTATCTTTAGATAAATTAAGTGCTCAGAATCTTGATTGAATGTAGCTTCATTAAGTTTTGATATGTTCACATAGAAGGGAAGAAAGTGTGAATTAAAATATATATCTTTTTTAAATTCTTTTCATATTGAATATTATATAGCTTATTTAAAATTAAGATAAGTATACTATGGTAAATGACAAACCACTTGTGTATAATGATGAGGACAAATAATGATTTAAGATTTATCAACAGAAGGTACAATTTTCATACATTCGTGTTTACAAGATCTGCAAAGTTTTAATTAGACATTATTATGAAAGTTTTTAATAAATTCTTCTTAGAACTTTAAATTACTTGCAAGAATTTTTTTAAAGTTTAAAGACTACGTATTCTCCTTTCTTCGCATGAATTAAACTGTGTATAGGTCAACTCAATATAGATAATCGCTATATGTAAATTTTTCATATTTTCCCTTTTATGTAACAGACGAACATCGCTAATGGATCACATCAAAGTGACTTCAAGTACATATTTAGAACGAGTGACATAGTGAAATTAAATAGAGGAAAATGGTTTAGGAATTGCCGTTTCACATTGCGAGGACATTGAATATATGTAATTATAAATTATATCTAAAACGACAAATTCAAAAGAAATTATGTTTATTTCTTTTAAGTACTTACATGGTCGTTCAAAAGGATAAATGTTGTTGTATTAACAAAATATTAAATAATATTTATATAATATGATTATATTAATGCTGGTCGTAGTAACACATTTGATTTATAGAAAAGATCTAGGTATATCCAGATCTATAAAAAAAATACTTATTTTATTTAAATTAAAAAATATATGGTTATTCAAATAATATTTTCATAGTTTTAGTCTTCGACTGTGCTGGTCTAAGGTTTTTTCAATGACTACGATATCATCAGTGAGTGAGAGGTCCCTGAGTAATATAATGAGTAAGTTTTTATATTAAGTACGTTCCATTTTAAGACTTCTTTCTGTAGGGTAGTAAATAGTTTCAGTGTAACAACTGCGCCCTCTCTCATGCCGCGTTTCAAACATGTAGGTTTTTTTTCTCTGGTTCTAGAATCGGACTGATATTGTAGATTTGCTATATGAGGCGTTTTTTTTAAGTTCTCTAAACCACGGTTTTACAGATCCCAATGTTGTTTTCAACTGAACTATTGATCCCTATTGTAATTGGATCTTTAATTTCTTATCGTGTTTTGGCGGAAAAACTTGATTTAGTTGACTTTACGGTAAGGATAGTATCAACAAACTTATCATGCTCTTATGAAAATATTTCACGCCATCGATGTTGAGGCATTGGAAGTAATTGTAAATTCTAACTTAATAGTTTTTTTGATTGGACCTTGGTCGGCGATAGTCAGAGCATAGAATTCATCTGACGCATTAGACCTTTCAAATTAGACATTGATATTCAATGCATTGGTTAATGAATGCATGCATGCTGGATTTGAACCTTTTAATCATGAAGACATGTGGTTTTTTAGTCGACATGTTGAGACTGATCTCATTGTTAGCACCATTATCAGGATTATTTTTTATAATCATCGAGTTTGGGGTCAAGGGGTCAAAAATGTAGGGTAAATCCAAAGTGAAGGTAATTAAAAGCAAGGTATTCATTAAAACAGCAATACAAGTTCGTCTAACTTCTTGTTTACGACAGTTGACTTCAAATTTTGGTTATTTATTTCGGTAACTCTTGAAACTTCAATGTCGGTTATGCTTAGAATAGCAAACCTTTTTATTTTAATACTTAGAGTTAGCAAACATATTTTCGAAACTGATGAATTTCTGTTTACATATAATAAAAATAAAAACTAAAATTATTTGGTTTCTAGCTCGCAGGCTTCGTGTTTCATAAAATACAAAAAAGAAATATTAAATTGTGTTCTCTAGCTACCTAATTATTTATTGTGACAAATGAACCCCTAACTACTTAGGGTCTCTTCGATTTATATGATTTCAAACAAAATATAACCCAGCTTTCCTAATCACCGTATCGTTACTGTGTTGCACAATAGGCTCCCAATTTTTTCCACGGCGGGAACCCCAGTTTGGATGCACCATGGATAAATGTGAGTATCGATGCCATTAGGTTTAGAATTACACATAGTAAATAAATAAATAAAATAAAAATAAACTTTATTGACTCAAGGATTACATAACAATCAAGTTGCAAGGGCCCCTGTACTAGGTGCAAACCCGTATTACTAGGTGCCCCGCTCATCCACCAAGACAACTAAAAACTCAACAATGATTTTGTTACACAGATTTATAGTAATATCCTATTAAGTGTTTGTGTGTGTGTGCTTGTATATGTGTGTCTGTGTGTGTGCGTGCGTGCGTGCGTGCGTTTAAACATCTATTAATTTTATTAAAGTTGTGAAAGGTTTAGATTAATTATCAATTTTTCAGTTTCATCATAATTACCTATACGTGAGTAATGTTTCAGTTAGAACATGCTTTACTTTGGTTTTTATCAGTCTGTAGAAGTCAAGTTTACGGTTTAGTTTATTATAAAGATAGGATGATTGATAATTGTATTGTATTTTCTTAAATTTGGTTTTACTAGTTGGGATAGGACAAACAGAGTTACGCCTACGGTTTTGGATTTGAGAGGGAACAAAAGGTAAATGATAAAGTAAGTAAAAGGTAAATGATAAATTAAGTATACAATTTAATATATACAGGGTGACTGGTGAATTACTATCAATATTTAAGGAGAATACTCGGTACATGATTCTCATTCGAATTATGTAAATAAAATAGGCACTTAATTTTTGACAAAATTTCCGTATAAATAAATAAAGAGTGGACACGTTCCAAGTGTTCCAAATGTGGACGCGTGCGGCGGCGTGCTGATACAACACCACGCCCCCGCCGCGCGCGTGTGTGTGTGTGTGTGTGTGTGTGTATACCTAATCTGTAGGGTGTTCACACAATGCGTAATTAATTACATAACTTTTGGTTAACTTTACTCAGAAGTTTATTAATATTTATGTTATATTAATTTTTATTTTGTCATATATGATCGTCAATGATCACGTCCTCAAGTATCGATAGTAATTCACCAGTCACCCTGTATATATTTGACGAGTATTCAGTAATTTGTACTGATTGTGTAAATCAAAAATTGGAAAAAGGTACGGTTTGGAAAACGTTACTTTTATGAGAGACCTCTGCGCTCTTTCTACACACACATATCAAATCCATATAAATATAGATCGTATATAAACAACTTAAACCTAGGCATCAATACTCTGTCATGCTAAAAAAAAGACAGTAATGTTAATTAAAAGGACAGTACATAATTAATAAATGTTTAAAAGGCAGTAAATCTAATATATTTCTGCTGCATACTATTTTATTGTATGTGTTTAGAGTTCATAGTGGTCAGTTCCAAGGGTTTCTTCAACACTACTCTGTAACCTGGCGCTTGTTTGTCAGTTATGGATCTCAATTCTCAGGTATAGTGAAGCGAATTTGTGGGACCAGTGCCTGAGGGTATAACTATATGTTTTCTAGGTAACGTACAGTTTACAGTTAGTAACGTAGAGTTTAACGTAACGTGAGAAAGGTACAGTATAGCGTGTGAAACGCACATTTTAGCATTGGTAACGTACATTTTATCGCGTGAAACTTACAGGATAAAGGAAATAACATAAGTCATGGATTACCTTCTGACCAAACAGCATTTAAAGATTTAGTTCAAACCAATACCATCATTTACGATTTTAATTTTTACATTTTAACCCCAAATTTATATTAGGAGTCATAAAATTGTCACAAAATCCGCTCTTAGATCATTTCAATCGATAAAGCGATAGTTTTAAAAATAGATTTTTTTAATTGTTGTCGCCCCCGTAGCCCCTCTATACTATTTGCGCTGTAGCTTGGTGCGGGTGACATTTGCCTATATGACGTTGATATCTGTCAGTACCATATGACTAGTGATGTTGCGTAATTCATTTTTATCATTAACGATACTCGCAGTATAAATAATATAGTACTTATTTAAAATAATTAAAATCGGGTATGAGTAATCTGATATGAGTTTAGACGAATAAAATCATTTTTATATAAGATCTGTTGTTTCATTAATATAAT